ATCACTTGCACAGGAAGAGCCTGTCCCATGGGCCCAGAATGCCCCCCTAAATGAGGGGCACTTAAACAACAGCAGCAATAACGTTACCCGCAGCCAGCACTTAGGACTGGCTAGGATGTGCCTGGAACCCTGTGAAGTGTTTTACAACCATTATTACATTTAATCCTCATAACAGTCCTCTAAGGTGGGTATTATCCCACTTTACATATGAGGGCAATTAAGGCCTAGAAAGATTGAGAGATTGGCCAAAGCCATATGGCTCTAGAACCATAAATTGTGTTAGACTTTTAACCCAAATTAGAGTAAAGTCCACCCCAGGATGCTGTCTCCAGTCATAGCTGCTATTTATTGAACATATACTGTGTGCTACACACAGTTCTAAGTATCTTATATAATAATCTCTCTTTTGTTTTTAATATGTGTTTTTATTTTTATTTTGGGAGACACTCTGTCACCCAGGCTGGAGTGCAGTGGTGAGATCTTGGCTCACTGCAACCTCTGCCTCCCAGGCTCAAGCGATTCTTCTGCCTCAGCCTCCTGAGTAGCTGGGACTACAGGCACCCGCCACCATGCCCGGCTAATTTTTGTATTTTTAATAGAGACAGGTTTTCACCATGTTGGCCAGGCTGGTCCTGAACTCCTGACCTCAGGTGATGCCTGCCTCGGCCTCCCAAAGTGCTGGGATTACAGGCATGAGCCACGGTGGCCAGCCTCTAATTTTCTTGATGCCTGTGACCAGTGCAGGGCCTTTCTGGACATGAGATATGGGACAGGCGGCCTTTGATACATGCAAATAAAAATGACCGTGAGATGTTAACGAATTAAAGGAAAAGGTGAAACAAAGCAGAGGACCTTTGTAGCTTGGGTCAGTATGAGCAACGGTAGGGAATGGATACCAAGAGGCGATGGGCCAGCATCCTTAAGCTGTCTATGACTGAGGCAAGAGATTGCAACCAGATGGAAGGGAAGGAGGTGAGCTGGAGCCCCCAGGGTGCAGGAACAAGCATGTGGTAAGTGTGAGACCAGGGGCAGAGCCGGGCCTGCTGCTGGAAATCACCTAAGGGCTTAGAGGGGAGAGAGCTTCGTGTGGCTTCCGTAGTTGTCTGTAGGTTGGGCAACCATCAAGATCATTGTAGAGGGAATTTCTACTTTGGGGAGTGTTGACTTTTGGGGTGCTGACTTTCCAAACTGCAAATTTGACCATGCCTCTCTTCTGCCTGGCAGCATCCTCCCGGATCCCAATTGCTATGAACACAGACCGAGAGACCTCCTCGTCAGCGAGGACAAGGCTCCCACAATCTGCCACTGACTGGCAACATCCACACTTTAGCCTGAGAGCTGCGGCAGCCATGCCCCTCTTCTGGCCATTTTCTGAACACATGGAGAATTCCACACTCTTGGGCTTATGTGCACGCTCTGCGAATCCTTTCACCTCTCTAGGCTGTTGTGTCCACTGAGCTGTGATTACTTATCCACAGACTGTGCCCCCCTTGAGCGCAGGACCTAGTCGCGGTCACCATCACAAACTGCTAGACGTGACTGGAGTACGGGCTACGTGTTTAATGAATGCGGTGGGGCTATGGGACATTGCTTGATCTTTTGAACCCTTAAGAGTCTGCTATTTCTTTTCAGTCAGTGTTAAATGGAGGGTCTACCAGGTGCAATCACACGGTGGGGGTGGGGACGTGCAAGCAACAACAGCGTTCATGATGCAGAGACAGCCAGGGGCTGGTGCCAACAACCAGGACATGGGAGGGAGAACAGAAGGTAGGGAGGGGGCCACCTAGGGACCACCGGGCATAACCCAAACCACTGCATGGAACAGGTGAAAAAAAAAAAAAAGGGTAACCAGAAAGAAATGGGGTGGGCATGGTAGAAATAAGCTTTGTTTCTTTCTCTCAGGATGTAGAATTAGGAGCCCCACTCCCCCACCCTCACCACCCCCACTAGGTATTTCCAAGGGAATGGGTATCCAGAGGCCGACATCCAGCCCCTCCCTCATCCAGCTCCTTCCATCAGCACCACAGCGTCAGCAGGTGGTGTCAAGCAAGGAGGACCTGTGTATGAAAATACCTGCTTTCTAGCCTCGAGGGAGCCAAGAAAAAGTCATCGGAGTCCAGATGCCACCAAGGAAGCCCACTGCAGACGTCTCTGTCCCCTTGCCTCTTTGCCCCTTAGTGGAGGTGGCGGAGCTGCCCTCTGGTTTCCTCCCTAGGCCTCTAGTTGGAAATTTGCTATGTGGCATCAGCTAGTGCTGCTACCTCTTCTGACCCTGAGCCTCCCAGGCTCCTTGCTCTGCACCCACATTGTAAAAAACGAGCTATAAACTCAGGCCAGCCCAGTTTCCTATGATGGCTGGAGAAACAGGGTGTGCAGCTTTGCTTCTTCTGTGTGTCCCTTCTTTGTTCCTGGGCTCCACACACAGCGGGAAGAAGGAAAAGGGAACCTGTTCCAGGGAGGTGCTGGGGGAGGGCTCTTGTGGGAGCCTGGAAACCCTTTCTTGACTCTTGACCAAAGTTACTTTTCTTCCTATTTTTATTAACACAAATCCCTACGTGTGTTTGTATCCAGAGAAAGTACTATGAATAACTGATGACACATTCGTTAACGTATGATTCATCCTGGGGGAGAGAGAGAGGGAGAAAGGAGCAGGAGCTTTGGAGGCTGAATATAAAGTGTCGTAAAATATTTAGCAAATGATCATCCAAGCCACAGGGAAAAAGTCAGAGAGATGGGAATTTGAAAGCTGCCAGGATTTAAAAGCCATTTAATGCTAACCATCAGTGCCAGAGAGCTGAGAGCGCCTCTCTTCCTCCCTCCATTGGCAGCAACAGCTCCAATAATGTGGAAAGGCTTGGATGGGCTGCGGAGCACTGGTGGGAACTGAGACCAGGCAGTAGGGCTGAAAGACTTTTTGTTCAAGAAAGCTCGTAAACAGGGGAGCGCCTTGGAGCTGGACTGTATCTTGTCTACTGCCTGTACATTCTCTTTCAAGAGATCCCTGACCATCAACTCTCTTCGCAGAAGACTCTAGCCAGTCATCTGAGTGTTTCAAAATATCCTGATGTTTGGCATCAAGGAAGAAAAAAAAAGAGCCAATTGACTGACTAAGTTTGTCACTTTCCTTGCAAATGTCTTGATGTTACTTAGACAATGGCTTCAGTCTTTGTCATTCTAAAGGTTTCGGCTCAGAAGGGGGTCTCTACTGACGGGTTAGGAACCCTACATTTTTAGGGCTGGGGTCAGTACTCACTTCTATAACCTGATTCTTTGGAGATATGGTTATTTTTAAGCAAAAGATGAACAGGTCTTTCTTGATAATTTGGCTTGAAAGCCTCAAATCTGCAGTTATGTCCTCCTGAGTGTAAATACCATAAAGTAAGATAAATTAAGGGAGAAGTGGCAGGGAAATAATTCAGGTCAGTGGAGATAACCGTCCCGTACAGCAGAGGCCTCCAGATAGTCAGGTTACACTCACAAGCTTGTCCAGCCTGCATTTTGTTGTTGTGATTTGGTTTGGTTTGGTTTAGGCTTTTAGCCACCTGAAGCCATGGTTTTGAATTTCTGTCCCTAGTGATAAGCAGAAAAGAGGGATGAGGAAGGGGCTTTATTGGCCCAGTCAGAAACAGAAACTAAGAACCCATGACTGTATTCTCTCTGTTGGACACCCCTGAAAGACATTCTTCAAAGACATAGTATGATGAGTTCATGAGTAGCCAATACAAGTGAATTTGGTGGATCGAATCAATGAATCTACTCATTGTGCCAAGAATGAACAGACTGTCCTGCCTTCAGGGAACTTTGAATCTATTTGTTTGGGAGGCAAGCATTCCATTAAAATATGGATAGTTAGCCTCTGAGTTCAGAAAAGTAAGAGATCTCTGGACAGAGTGGCCCTAAGGAGGAGGACAGGAATAACCATGGCAAAACTGCGCTGCAGAAGAAACCAGAAAATAGCTCTTGTCCTTTCTCCTCCTATTTATTCCAGTCCAACACTTCCCTGAGGCCCTCTTCAGCAAATCCACAGATTCACTCTCTAGGATTCCAGTCTTCATTCATCTTACTTCCTACAAACTCTTACAGCACTTAGGCTCCAAAACATTCACCTGGTACGTGATTTCATCGTGAATTAGAATCTGTATGAAGAAAGATTAATCTTTTCTCCTCAGTTTATAATTGGCAAATTCTTTTTGGCAGGTGTCAAATCTTTTTTTCTCTTTTTTAGAGACAGGGTCTCACTCTGTGGCCCAGGCTGGAGTGCAGTGGCACCATCACAGCTCACTGCAGCCTCAAACACCCAGGCTCAAGCAATCCTCTTGCCTCAGCCTCTGAGTAGCTGAAATTTCAGGTGTGTGCCATCACAAACGGCTAACATTTAAACTGTTGTAGAGACAGCATCTTGAACAAGAGACCAGCTCAATTGATCCATCCACCTTGGCCTCTTAAAGTGTGGGGATTAAAGGCTTGAGACACTGTGCCTGGCCCTGATACCAAATCTTAAAACAGTTCTGCTTTCCCCAGAGTTTCTAGCAGTGCTCAGTTGCTGGCCATTGGCTCTGTGGATGTGCAGTAGCATTGATTAGTAAGGTAGTATATGAGTAGGATCCCGGTGGTGAGTGAAAATCTCCGCTAGGATTGTGGAAGAAGACTGAATTCTGGGTAAGCCCAGGGATAGGCTGCATATTAGCACATCCAAGCTACAAAACACAAGCTATGAGCAGTTTGATTCTGAAGTTCTCCTTCCCTTCTTAGTTCTGATTGTTAAAGCAGATGCAGAGTTCTGAAAACTTGTAAATTGGGTAAAAAATTAATTTACTGAGAATAAAGGTTTATCAGCAGTTCCACTCATATATTTTAAAATGTCTAAGAAAGAAAGAAGAAAAATAAAGGAAGAAGGAAAGGAGGGAAGGGGAGGGAGAGAGGGAGGAAAGAGGAAACGAAAGGGGGAAAAAGAAAGCCTGTAGGCTAGGGTGGGAAACACACAAGACTCAGTCTTCAGATACTCTCAGCAATTTCATAATATGATAATTTTTAATATTAAAAGTAAATTGTAAATGTGTCTTTATAAACAATATGCATAAAATAGATCATATCCTAAAACCTTTTCTTTTTAAAATGCTTTTTCACAGTAAATTTCTTAGGTGTCAGATTTTCCCTCAGGATAGTGCAACTACAAGAAGGGAAATGTTGGCAGTGGCTCAGGACTCTGCTAGTACAAGTCCTTGTAGATCTCCTGCAGGAGGGGGTGCAGACTCATGTCCGTCTCTGTCTTCTTGATCACCTGCAGGAGCTGCACGTGTTCTGTGACAATCTGTCTGAGGTCTGTCATTTTCTGGAGCAGCTTGGCAAATAGCTGAGAGGACTCAGGGTGGTTCAGCTTCAGCTGGAGCTCCAGGGCTTGTAGCAGGTTGTCTTGTATGTCTTCAATGGGCTTCACATTCAGCAAACCTGGGCGGTCTGGGAAGCACAAATGGAAAACACAACAGGGGGTTCAGTAAAAAAATCCTCTGGGCCCTGCCTCGGAGGCCTAGGCAGCTTTACCAAGCAGCTCACCCATGTTTTTGGTTTGCTTTGCTCTGATCTTAAATAGGAAGGAAGGGTAAGCAGATAGTGGGTAAGAACTGAGGATGGAATCAGAACCAAAAGGATCAGAGCCCTTTGCAGGGGCTTTCTTTTTCTGGCCAGGATGGAATCTGAGTGGTCAGCTGATGGAACATGACATCAAAACAATCCTGTTCCCCAAATGAAGTTTCCTCTGCTAACATGCTTCTACTCAGAAATTTCCTTTTCTTTTTCTTCTTCTTCTTTTCTTTTTTTTTTTTTTTTTTAAGATGGGGTCTTGCTCTGTCATCCAGGCTGGAGTGCAGTGGCACAATCTGGGCTCACCACAACCTATGCCTCCCGAGATCAAGCAATTTTCCTGCCTCAGCTTCCTGGGTAGCTGGGATGACAGGAGCTCACCACCAAGACTGGCTAATTTTTGTATTTTTAGTAGAGGTGGGGTTTCACCATGTTGTCCAGGCTGGTCTCAAACTCCTGACCTCAAGTGATCCACGCACCTTGGCCTCCCAAAGTAATAGGATTACAGGCATGAAATACCATGCCCAGCCAGAAATCTCCGTTTCAACATCTGCTCCTTCCTGATGAATCCATGTTTTATAGCTTCCGTCCAGTTTCTTAACATAGCTTCAAATATTTTTTTCCCCAAATATGCTTTTAAAAGAAGGTTTATCTTCTTTTTGCTTAATTTGCTTTTGCTATATTTGCTTAATATGGCATATTTTGAAATGACAAAACACAGTTTTAAAATACTGATACATTTTAATAGAGGTTTCTTTTGAGTAGTAAGATTGTAATTTTCACTAGTTCTTCCTTAGTTTTCTTAATTCAATTTGCAAATTGTGAACTTAAATTACTTTTAAATATTTTACTTTTTTATGTAGATCTTGTTAGTGTTATTCTCAAATACTTCTTAGCTTCTATTGTGAATGGACTCTTCATTTTTGTTACATTTAATATATCCCCGCTGACACGAAGAAAACGAATTGATTTTAGTATACTGAAACTATTCCAATTTTCTGAACTTTTGTCACTTAGAATAGCTTTTAATCATGGATTTCTACTTTTTTTTTGGAAAGACAATTTTATCAGCAATGGTGGCTTTATTTATTTCTTCTTTTGCAGTGTTAACCTTTCTCATTTCCTTTTCTTGCCATAGTGTGTTGGCTAAAACCTCCAACGTGGGATTAACTAATAGTAGCAATAGTAGCATTTCCAACAAATTTAGGAATGCAACCCAGGAGTTGGAGGCTGCAGTGAGCCATGATCATGCCACTGCACTGGGCAACAGAGTAAGACCCTGTCTTGAAAAAAAAAAAAAAGCATTAAGTTGAGGGACATAAATAAAAATAATACATTTCAGATTCCAAGACCATATCATTTATAACTTTATTCTAATGTAAATTACTAAAACTTTACCATATAAATTTGCATTCCTAATTTTGAAGGAAATGCTTCTAATCGTTTATCACCAACTATTATGTTTGCTATAGATTATGGAGGACATGTTTTACTCCTGTGTTTCCAGGGGTTTTAAAATTTTAATTTGTTTTAGTCAGGAATGTATTGAATTTTTATCAAATGCTTTTACATTCTTCTATCTAGAGAGATATGGTATCTACAGAGTTATGGTTTTATCTTAACCTAGTGAATTACATTACTAGAGTTCTTTATACCCTTGTACTTACTTGCTAATATTTTATATAGGGTTTTTGTATTTGTAGGTGATATTGGTTTAGAATTATTTTGGGGGTCATTCTTTGCCTATTTGGGTAATAATGTTAACTAGCCTTTACAGTGAGTTGAGAGGTTTGCCTTCTGTGTCTGTCGTAAGGATCTGTTCCTTGATGGTTTGTTAGAATTTGTTTGCAGAACCATCTGAGCTTGGTGATAAATCTATCACTATCTTTAATTTTTCGTCCATAGTTTTTAATCTATTCAGGCTTTCTATTTATACGGTAAAGTTTTAGTAATTTATATTAGAATAAAGTTATAAACGATATGGTCTTGGAATCTGAAATGTATTATTTTTATTTATGTCCCTCAACTTAATGNTTTTAAGACAGGGTCTTACTCTGTTGCCCAGTGCAGTGGCATGATCATGGCTCACTGCGGCCTCCAACTCCTGGGTTCAGGTGATCCTCCTGCTTCAGCCTCCCAAGTAGCTGGGACTATAGGCATGAGCCACCATAACCAACTAATTCCTAAATTTTTTGTAGGGGTGGGGGTCTTGCTACGTGGCCCAGGCTGGTCTTGAACTCCTGGCCTCAACCAATCCTCCTGCCTTAGTCTCCCAAAGTGCTGAGAATACAAGCATAAGCCAACCATGCCTGGCCCTTAAAGCTCTTTATTTGTCCATTCTCTCATTAAAAAAAATCTGATTTGTCAAGGGTTTATCTATTTTTTCCTTTTTAAAAAAACACAGCTTTTGGTTTTATTAATTGAGTCTGTTTCTAAAAATTGTGTGTTTTGTTCTTAATTTATTGAATTCCTTTTTAAAACTTTCTTTAGGTTTACTTTCTTTTCTTTTCCTAGTTTCTTTAGCTGAATGCTTAATTCATTCAGTTTGGCATTTCTTGTTTTCTAATAAATGCATTTAAGCCTCTACATTTTCCTCTTAGTGTCACTTGGTTTCATCCGATGGGCTTTGATAAATAGTACTTTCACAGTTCTTTTCTAAACAGCTTGTCTTACAATTTTGATTTTTTTTTTTAACCTAAGAGTTATATAGAAGTATGTTTTTAAATTTCCAAGTAAAATGTTTGGGGTTCAGTTTTTATTTTCTAATCTCTAAGTTTTATTTTCTAATTACTAAGTTTGTTGCATTGGGTAAGGTTTTTTCATTCAGGCTCGCCAGAAGACAGGACATTCACTTGATCATTTGTACTCATTTCAAATTTTAGCTCTTGAAGTCTATTTATTTTATGTTAAAAACTGTAACTCTTCTCTCCTTCATGGTATAAGTTTTACCCACCTTTAATATCCTCTACGACCTGGTCCCGGTCATCCTCTAGCCTCAGTTTCTGTAATTATCTTTTTGCTCCACGTTAAGCCATCTTCATCTGTTACCACACCAAGTTCCTCACACACCCTATGCTGTGTCAGGACTCTGCGCTTATTCAGATTTTATTCCTCCTGCCTGAAACATTCTCACCTTCCCTTCACTCATCTTACTGACTTCAACCATTTCTTCAAAATATAGCCTTTGGCAGGCTGCCATCCTGAAATACTTCTCAAGAGTAACCCTTCCTCTCTCCTGTTCTTCTCATCTCCTTTCTCTGGGCCCCCATAGCACCCTATAAACACCTCAATCACTACTATACTAGTGTATTACATTCACTGAATGGTTACTATTTTTCAAAGATTATGCCAAGGGCCTTATTTACAATATACCATTTAATCTTCACAATAACCCCAGGAGGTCATACTTCACAGAATGAGAAATAAAGACTTAGAGAAAAAAGTTGTATCTTGCCAAGATAGGCCACTTGCTAGTAAATGCAGAGCTGACATTTGGATCTAAGTCTGTCTGGTTCCAAAGGCTCTGCTCTTACTCCTTATTATCTTGTATTATAAATTCTGGCTTTCTTGTTTCTCTCCTGTTAGGCCATGAGGTATTAGAGGGCAAAGACTAGGTTCTGATCCTTTCTGAACCACCAGTTGAAACACAGGAAGCATTTGGTCGACTGAGTTAATGAGCGAGAAGGCTGTTCTGGCCAAGAGCCCTGGATTGAAAAGCATAATTCTCTCGGTTGGTGAACAGGCCTGAAGGCAGAATCCCTACACAATGAAGAAGTCTCCTGTAAACGATGTTTTCCTGTGTCTAATAAACTCTAGTGACCTTTATCCACTGAGATGAGGCTCAAGAGAACCATGTGGCACTGCAGAGTGGTCTCAGAGTGGGATTTGCAGAACTCTGAATATTCTAAGTTAACTTTCTTATTTTTTTTTTCCGCTAAAGAAGGAAACTGGTCTTTACTTTGATTTTTTTCCCTCTCAGGTCTCCAACATATCCCATTGACTAGAGTAAGTATAATTTTCTCTTTATATTTCAGCATTTAATTTTGGAACCATCAGCAAAAAAATATCAGATTCTGAGAAGGAAGAAATGATCTGGTCCTGGCCTGGAGAATTAGGCCCCTGGGGGTGTGGGGCCTTCTTCACAGTTGCTATAATGGGAATGAAAAAGCCACTGATGCTTCACTGAAAGCTGGGCCCCAGACTGGCACCTTGGTTTAATGACTATGGATTCCCCTGCTTAACAAATGCATGCATCTCAAAGGCCAGAGGCAGATGTGCATCTAAAAACAGGTGCTGAGACGGGCCCTCCTGGGCGGGGACTACTCAACCCTGAGGAGGCCTCTGCTCACTGGACACTGGCTCCTGAAGCATTTCTGCCATTCCTCTTTCGTCCGCCTTCTGATTGACTGATTGTAGAGACAGGGTCTCTACCTTGCCCAGGCTGCTCTTGAATGCCTGGGCTCAAGTGATTTGCCCTCCTCAGCCCCCTAAAGTGCTCGGATGACAGGCGGGAGCCACCGTGCCCGGCCTCTTCCTTCCTCTTGAGCAGCACCACTGGGGTCAGCCCTTTGGCTGAGGAGGTGATGTTACTCTACAAGGTCTCATTTATCAAACAACCAAATCCTAACATGCAACAGACCAGGGCTTGCTGAAAACACTTGGCTCTGGCGCAGTTTCATGGAACTGGCCCCTCCAGGAGCGGAGAGGGATCTGGTTTGGATTTTGAAACCCCTCTTTGGCAAGTTATTCTTTATGATGTGATAGATGAAGCTTGGCTGAAGGGCTGAAATTTTGTGGTCATGGAGTAAGTATATTTTCTGCAATGACAAGTTAGATCATTTACAGATCAGTCCCACTGTATCCCCTGACTGAGCCTT